GGGGGGGGTGAATGGAAAATGTGTGTGTAAAAGTTAAGTAAGTATTATTTACAGTAAAGGTTTCCTACGGCAGCAGGAGTAGCAAATAAATTGTGATCAAGCTTTTTGTAAGTACTGCAAGTTCTTTGCTTAAGTCTTTCGTTTGGGCATATGCTGGTAAGTGCTTTTGTTTGTTTGCAAGAGTAAATGCTGCGTTTACAATTTCCGGCATATTTTCCGCATAATTTTTCTGTTAACTGAGTGCTTGGAATTTTACATCTTTAATATTTTTATACCCATTACGAAAAGACGCGGATGACAAGAAACTCTAAGTGTGAAGAACAATTAGTTTTTAAGGGTTTTTAAGCCTCGAATCGCAGACTGTGCTCTTGTAAGGGTTCTACAAGGCTCTTAATAAAGAACATATATTCTAAAAGAGTTTTATTTTTTTATGCCTCATATTTTATATCTACTCTTTTCTCTTCCATTTCATGATCAATGCAAATCCTCTACAAATGTAAACTTTTAGATCTCTATAATTTCTTTTCGTTCAGAGCGATTAATAAATAAGGCAATTCATCTAATTGCGTAAATGCCACGTAACCACGCAAACCTCGTAAACTTCCTTAGTTTTGTACGGAAACCCTTTCTATGCTCGCTTCGAATTTTTAAATGCCAATTTTTGGAAATTTATGGATCCGCCACTTCTTAAACGCACTGAATCTCGTGGGAAAAATATCTCTAGATCTATTATAATACTTTTTCTTATAAAAATGCGCGTCCGCTGCGACATGTCATTCGTTAAAAAGGAATTAAATATTAGAGTTGCTAGATATACAAAATTTTTGTGCAAAGTGAAAAATAAATTTAAAATTGGAATATTTTGAAATTTAAAATAAACTTTTTAAATGAAAAACTACTTCAGAACATCTTTTATACAAATTAATATTAATTTTTAATAAACACATTATCAGTTTATGGCTTTTAAGATCAATATTTTAACTTGTTTTAAGGATAAAATGATTTAAACTTATTGGAAAGACTTTGGCAACCCACCAAATTGAATCAATTTCATTATTAAACATATGATTTTAATTTTGGCTTAACCTTCTTCTCTATTAGCCTTGGTAGAAACGGGATAATTCACGAAAATAACTCAGGAGAGATCAACGTAATTGCCTGTGGAAACATAGCTCAAATAGGCATCTCTCAAACGGCAAGCCAGTGTTCTACCCTATCGTCTATTGCGACTGTTGTTGTAGTGAACAGATGCAGGGTTTGTTGACTGTACGTAAACTTTTCGGCAGATTGGATAGGTAGTCGAAGAAGTGGATTCCAAAATCCAAATTATGGTTACATATTCCATAAATCCAGTCTCCATTCTATGTTTGTAGGAAGTTGTAGGTGTGATCACATTCTGAGAAGAGTGGATCACGGGGTATATACCTGTGCTCACAGACCTGTGCAGCGATCAAGGAGAATCCGATTCATCAACTTGTTAAGAAATATTAAAATTTTTGGAATGATTTTGAATTGGTCTTTTCACGTTTTTAAAACTCTGATGTCCCGTAAAAATTTGCTAAGCTATATGTAGGGTATAAAATAATCCCTTGCAACTTGGCTTAGATCAGTGCCAGGCATCCATTAGCCTCGCTAAGCTATGTGTACGTGTGTATTTTTCCTGGCATTGGCTTAAATTTGTCCTAAAAAACGTATTTCATTGGATTAATCTGCCAAATATTTCTTACCTTCCTAGTGATGCCGGCCTCGCGCGACGATCTATCCAACTGCAGCAGGCGTATGGTTATCTCATCGCGATTGTTGTGTACACAATGCGCCGCCGTCACCACATAGCGATCATTAATCAGCGAACCGCCACAGAAAAGACGCTGATGCCAACGGCCCTTAAGCAGCTGCGCCGTCCAAGGGTATTTGTTCGAACGCACCTGTGTGCCGCCAACGATGCGATTGATATTCGGTGTGCCGCAATCTGGTGTCCATTTTTAGAAGAAGAGGGGAGAATTTGGTGGAAAATTAGAAGTAATGAAACATTTTTCGCACATCGCCACTCATTCGCATTCATAATACTCACAGCACTGTCCTGCGCAGCGTGCATAACGTCCCTTATCCTCATCGAGAAATTGTGCTGGTCCATCGGGACGATCGTAATAGTAGGCGGCTTGCACGCCAATCGCAAAGCAGCACACCAAGCTGGCAGCGCACAACACAAAGAAATTCATTGCTTTTGTCTCGAAATGCGCGCACACACTCTTCCACAGATATTTACGAGTAATATTATTTTACACTTTCCTTCGTGGTAGCCTTCTGTTTCTGGCTACCGCTTACCGTCGCGTACTGTTGCGAAATGTTTCAATATATTTCGTTCGTAGCCCTTCTTATAGCCTGTGTTTGTGTCATCGTAATTTGCATAAAACAATGCGCGTCTGCGGGCGCGTACACGCACAATATCAATAACAAAGAGAACAAAAACAATAAGCGATAACCAAATTATTATTGGTCAAAATTGAAAATTAAAAAAAAAATAAAAAATGAGAGCATAAAAAATCATCTTCGATTTTAGTAAAATTTTTTCAGTTCGTTTTTTTTTTGCCATCTCCCGCAAATGGACTGAACTTAAAACTGTACTTTCTTTGTTTTCAGCGACTGTGCTGCTGCACGCAAATTTGCATACACACACAAACATATACATATGTATGTATGTATATTTGAGTTCGTGGCAGCACGGCCGCTGCGGCTTATCGTTTATTGAAACCTCAAAAATGAAAAACACTTACTAAAACAGAATATACAAAAATAAAATTAAAAAAAATTTATCAATAATAAATTTTTGCAGCAGCTATAAAAATATTTATTAGCTCATTTAAAATCACTGAATTTTTAAATTTTACACACTGCTTTGCATATTCACAGAAGTGTGGCAACAACTCGGCGGCAAGACGGCACTTCCTCTTTTGTAACTAAAAAAGTAAAAGACTTCGTAGAGATACATTTAGATTTTTATTGATGGTTTTTTGCTTTTAAAAACTGGACTTTTACGATGTCGAAGAATTTTTTGTTGTTGTTAAAGAAAATAAGTGTATACTTATGTGTATGTACATATTTGCAACGGTGGTTTGAGGGTAATAAGAATTTTATGATGCAAAGAAAATAATTACAAATGCTTTTGTTAATTTCATTTTTGGGGAAATTTTGTAAAGCGATTATTTTTTTATTAACTCGGCTTTGGACATGCATCGTACATTAGATTACATTAGTGTGCACCTTTTTTCTTATGTCCTCTATATATTAACCACAATTCTTAACCTGGCCTATGGCCTATACTGCTAATTCTTGGACTATGACGAACGTTTTATTCATAACGAAGGGAACAAGGTCTTCCGCTTGAAACCTAGTAACAAGTAATTCAACCGCCAGCACGCAGACTCGAAAGATAGATAAGTGAATATTGTCAAACTGTGACTTACATCAAAAAAGCCTTCAAGGAACTTTAACAGATATGCGCCAAGAGGCACACTGCGAGACAAGGTTCTCTCCCCGCTCCTATGGAACCTGACGATAAATGATTGTAATAGTAATTGTAATGGTAATAGTAGTAATAATGGTAATGGTTATAGTAATGGTAATGTTAATCGTTATAGTAATGGTAATGTAATGTTAATAGTAATGATAATGGTCATGGTAATGGTAATGGTAATAGTAATGGTAATGGTAATAGTAATTGTAATAGTAATGGTAATGGTAATGGTAATTTAATGTTAAGAGTAATGGTCATTGTAATTGTAATGGAAATGGCAACGATAGTGGTAATGGTAATTGTTATTGTAATTGCAATTTTCGTTTCCGTATTCGCCTTCACATTCGTGTTCGTACTCGTTGTCGTGTTGTTATTCGTTTTCTCATACGTCTTTTTTTACTCGACCCTCTTTTCGTCTTTGTATTCATTTTTATCTTCGTGATCGCTTTCGTATTCGTCTAAGTCCTCCGTTTGGTATTCGTATGCCCCTTCGCTATCAGTTTGATCTTCGCAATCGCATTCGTGTTTGTATTCGTCTTTGTATGCATATTGGACTTTGTGTACGTTAGCTCACTACCGCCACTTAAAGAAAACTCAAGATGCTACTTTTGCTTTCTAAGCAGAAAAAAAAATTAAGTTTTCTGACTTATCTAGCTTTTTAATACGATTCTAATTTTCATCAATAAGGCTAACTACTTAGGAGCTCTCAGGCGTCTGCAAAAGATACAAAGCAGAGCGGAACTGTGCATAAGAAAGGCCTTTTTCTCGATGCCCCAAATTTTGCGTCTACGTCCATTTCATCCAGATTCTCGAAAGATATTCGTTATTGCAGCAGTAGGACTTAAATAAGCCGACTCATAAGCTGATAGAACCATAAACCATCCCGTGGAAATAGAACTTTTTTCGTTACAAATTCTAAGAGAACAGCTAGCGAAAAAAGTTCAATAGCATTTAAGGCTTTTGAAATAGAGAATTCATAACAAATATGTTTGTTCGATAAAGAAATTATTATCTTTCAAATGACCTTCAAATTAGGGGATTTTAATTTTTTTTAATTTTTTTACCTGAAAACAGTAAGCAGTGAATTAAAAAAAAAAATTTAACACATATTTTTACTGTTATTGCATCAAGGCATCCATTTCCATGGTGGCAGGAACCGAAAAACGCATTAACAAAAAATTTAGAGGTTCATTGTATCTTTTTTTATGCCAACAAAATATAAAAAATCAAAAATTTTACTTTTGAAGGTCAAATTAAATAAAAAACTACTTTTACCTTCAAAATGACCTTCAGAAGTAAAAATTTTGCTTTTTTGCCCTTTTCTACCTAAAAACAGCATGTAATGAATTCATAAAAGAAAAAAATCAAAATACGTTTTTCGATTCCTACGACCATGCAAATGGACCCCCTGACGCAAGAGGAGCAAAAATGTACGGTTAACTAAAACTTTTTAAAAAGCTCACTGCATACTGTTTTCAGGTCAAAAAAGGAAAAAAAAATAAATAAATAAAATTCTCTAACTTTGAAGGTAATTTTAAAGGTCAGAGTAATTATTTTTTAATCCGAAAAACTATTTTTTATGAGTTCTCTATTTCAAAAGCCTTAAAACGCTATTGAATTTTTTCCGCTAGCTTTTCTCGTTCTCGAGATATTAGAATTCGTCATGAAAAAGGTTAAATTTCCACACTGTGCGTTGTCAACTAATCTTTCAAAAGGATCTAAAATGACCTAACTTTTTCTTAGAGAAGACGCCAGACCATATCCAAATGTCCATTCCTATCGAGAAAGTATATTTTGAAGTTGCGGTCAAAGTCAAGACATGTCGTCTAATAATCTCGACTTTTCAACCCCTCCCAGACTCTATCCAAAATGGGAGGGATCAGACTGATACTCTGACCACCATCATGATTTCACGAACAATAGACCACGTCAAAGGTCGGGTGTATAATGCCCCTCTCCAGATAAGGGACATCCATTAGATGTTCAACTAATTCATGATTACTTTTAGTTCGCTCTCCTCCTGGAATTTCTAGGAACGCTGGGAGGAGCAGATCGGTTGGAAAAACATTTTAATCGCCTGGCTTTACCTGGTGTTTACAGAATTTTTACCACTAAGGCTACTTTTTCCTATCTCAGCTCCTCTCATCGTTTATCTATTGTTCTCAGTATCATTTGCTCAGCCATCCAACGCTACTGTATTGTTTCACACAAATCTAAATAAGTATGCAATTCATATAACCCTACTACTTAGATGTGTATCCAATAAGCTGCCTTTTAACTTTTAACAATTAAGGTGATTTTATTGCAAAATTTTTTTAAGGTATATATTTGCTAAATAGATTCAATGTCTGCCACACAGCTATTTGTTATTCTATTATCTAGTAATTAGTCACGATTATGTCGCAACTCGTTCATTAAAATGTCACATTAATTATCTCTTTGCCAAATTTGCATAAGAAAGAATCTAAGAAAGATGCGCTAAAGCATTAAGAAGTATGTATTAGAGAAAGTAATGAACGAATGACGTAGGTTGAACTCATTAAGTCTTGTTGATTGCTGTCGTGAGGTGAGGATTAATATTTGTTTGGTGTTAGATTTTAGCTCGTGCGAAGAAATTTTAATACCAAGATATAAAGCAGAATTAACGTCTTAAGGTCTTAGCTATGTGACAATGCCTAAATACTTAAGCAAGAGAACTTATGTATTTAGTAGATTTTTTTAGCACTTAAGGGTTCAGGAAAATAAAGAATAGAAAGTGCCTCTTGTTTTATTTAATTTTAAGGATTCACGAACTTGATGAAGTGTTTTTGAAACTTTTCTGAACCATTTCTATATTTTCTTACGATTTTTTCCGGTTTATGTTTTACATTTGGGGTTTGTTTTAAGAAGTTAGGGACTTTTCGGTATTTCGGGAATTTTTCCGAAAGTTTTTGGGACCACTTCGGGTCTGTCAGGACTTTTCGGGACATTTTGGTAGTTTTCGAGACAGCTCAGAATTTTTTTTTATATCAGTATTCAGTACTGCTAAAACGCTAACTGTTTTTTGACATTTTGTTAGATTAAAGTAAATAAATACCTTCGGACTCAGCTTTAGTCCTGTGAAAATAAGAAACTACATTTACTGTCAAGGGTTAACATACCATGCTCTTGACAATATTGTTTACCAACAAGATGGTTTACACTGAAAAGCCCAGTTTTTTTTTTAGTTTTTTCTTCATCCAGTGAGAGTTCGAAGGCCCTCCGTGCCTAAAGAGTAAGAAAGCATTTCCACGTATTCTAGCGATATCAGTCTTATATATCTGGAAGCCAGTCTGCAATTGCATAGAAGCATCCTCGCTTTAAAGGAACCGGATACTTTTTCTTAGTGAATATTTGAAAATATTTTTTTCATGAGTTCCAATTTTCAACCGGGTCGCAAACTCCGTGGATAAATCATTGCTGGGAGGTATTTTAAAAAAAATCATATTTATAAAGCGAGCCGGTTGCTCTAAAACGGGTGCCCGCATTCGGATCCCGCCACCGGAGAAAGGATGTAGACAAAGGCAAAGGCAGACAAAAAGGCAAGACCGAACGAAAAAGATAAAGATGAATCCACAAATAAAGCCAAAAATTTAGTTAAAGATTAAGGTAAGGTGAAGATAAGATAGCGAGATGAAGGTGAAGATAAAAATGCAGGTGAAGATGAAAGCGAAGATGAAGACAAGATATGAAAATGAACACTCAGATTACATGAAGGTGAAGATCGAGATGAAGTTTAAGGTTACCATTAAGATAAAGATTTTTTTTAAGTATAATACTAAGAATAAGATTAAAATTAAGA